TATATATATATATATATATATATATATATATATATATACATATATATATATATATATATATATATATATATATATATATACATATATACATATATATATATATATATATATATATATATATACATATATACATACTGTATAACTACTTAACGGAAAAGTTGATAGAGTACAACATCTTAACACACTTGCATGGCAACGCATGCAGCTGAAATGCAAACAACACGCACGCAGGATGCGGTTAATGTGGTAAATGCCAATACATTTATATACCTGTTCATATACCTGCTAAGATACAATATGCTACACTTTACAGAACATATGACATGAAGTCAATATTATTGAAGTGTCAAGTGTATGGATCTCTACTTGGTTTCCATATTTGTAGCATATATAATTATTGCAGTGGCGTAACTCCTCTGCGGCCTCTCCGAGTGCCCCAAGTCAGTAAGGGCCTCGGATGACAAAGTTTTTCAACGATTGTCACACGTTGTAGCGTAGGCACAACCATAACATAAAAAACTGAAAATCTCCGTTTTTATAAGATTGCAATATTCCGTTTATTATTTGCACTTGGTTGAGAATGCTTGAAATTAAGTATAGACCCAAGCCAACCGCCGGGACCCCTTAGCCCGAGGTTTTTTTAAATTTATAGAATCATTTTCTCCAAGAGCTGAAACTGATCGAGGAAGATCATGACAAATTAAAAATTGTAGAGTACTGCATGTCTACTGACAAATTAAATAAAAAAACACACAGATGAAAGAAGTGATATAAAGAAAAAATAATAAAAGGATAATAATAATAGATAGTTATGTTAAAGCTTACAACAACAAAAATCATGAATCATGTAGCTATATACAGTTGGTAAATCGTTTTGAATTCAATATAAACAATTAGACATTATGCAGGAACGTTTGGTTGTCGGCATATCCAAGTTTATCTGACGCATGCAAAAATAGGTGTATACTTTCTGATACGTTCGGCCAGGTTACATCAATGATAATTGTGAAACATGCAAGATTACAAGGTCAAGGTCACACGCTCAATAGGCTAATATAAAACAATTCGCACACGCGTCTTATACATATCGAAAAACTACCATGCACTTAATTATTTGTCTTACTCGATACTGCAAGTTATTACATATATTTAAGATCTACTTTCGAAACATCACCCAAGGGCCGAGGTGGTAAATCCGTATTCTCTGACTCAAGGTTGTCTGACTTTCTTTTGTAAAATTTAAAATGCGGTCGTATGTCACAAAACATATGAAGGTACAGAAATAAAACAGAAATAAAACAGAAACAAAAAGAAAACATAAGACAGAAATAAACAGAAAACATAATATGTAAGTACAGGAATAATACACTTCCTTATATTAATTTATATACACGTATAATTGCGGTGAACTCACAACATGCATGCATACCACAAAATGCAAATTTATAAAATGCCATGTGCACGTACGCTATTGATATTTGTATTGTAAAATCACGCAATCGAAAATCATTGTGAATAAACTTTAATTTACAGTAACTTTCACAATAATTTCGATTTGTACACAAAATAAGAGTATTACGTTTATATGATCTGGTATTTAGAATGTGGGCGGGAAAACGTTTTCACTTTTTCTATCACATTAATTGCCACAACAACTTATAGCGTGGTTTTAAAAAAAAAAACACGCACATTATAAAGTGTGGTATACATTCTCTAACCACTTTTACACTCTCACAGAGTCTTTTTTAAACTTTTTTTTATTATACAGCGTGGGAACAACCGTCGGCTCAAAGTGGGCTCGTGCACCCATACTGTGAACATTGTTTACACACTTATAGATCAACATGCATAAAACAGGTTGTAGCGTGCAAGTGCAACACTTTAGTTTACAGTTGCGAGGACACAGGTATAGAAATAGAGCGAGCAGTACAGCAGTGAGGAAACAATGAGTACAATAAAAGCACGTTTGGTCAACCGTCATGGCTATTACCTGGAAGTCCAAAGTAATGGAACAATAACTTCCAATGTGAAAGGAGACAGTTTGTATGGTAAGAAATAGTAAGGATGCTTTTTGGCGTTGTGTTTCGTTTGTTTTCCACACACGAAAATTTATTCTACATTTTGCATTTACGCTGTACAAACACACACTAAAGCATCTAAATGATAAGTTTTGTCACCTGGTATAAGTATTTTCTATATTATTTGAAATAAATGATACCATGTAGGAATTAGCCTGGCTTAAAAAGCTCCCATTCGTTTCTATATGGACCATATACCACAATATATATCACAATACTCTAGACGTGGATACAAGCATTACTGCATCAGGATATGCATTTTGTCTCCATGCCGTTTTCTGCAATTTTGTGCCATATAGTATATATAGCCTATCTAACACTTCTGGAATACTACGAAACAACATGCAGTCACATTAACAATACTTATCACCGGACTTAAAATTTTTCTTCGTTGTACTCTGAATCAGCAATGCACCGTAGAAACATACACATATTTACCATTTTCCTTTAAGGTATTCTCGAATTTCAAACCACAAATTTTGGAGAGATGACAATCAAGGGAAAAGAAACTAGTCTGTATATTTATGTCAAGCCTGACGGATCACTTGCAACAACAGTAAGTATTTAATATCTTACATTCAGGGACTTACACTGACCAGAACCTATATTTAATAGTAACTGTTCCTACCCTATATCATCATGGATTTGGGTACGAGACGAAATGCACCAAAAATAATCTGGAACATTTTCAGATTGATTTTTTCCATAAGCAATGCATTTTCAGCATTATCATCATAATCTTCGCTTTTTTCTTTCAGAAAACGAATAATACGGGAACAAATACTCTTTCCTGGGCAGAACAGAAAACAAAACAAATGTTCTCTACATTTTCATCGGTATCGATTGGAAATTATCTCAGTATTAGAAACAACGGGAAAGTGAAAACGGCCAAGAAATCTTCTGCTCAACTGGGACGAAGTGAAATGTGGTTTGTCCAAACAGTCTAAGCACTTCGATACAGCGATACTCGAGTATTACATTTCATTGCGTTGAAAACTTTTGAATATTTATTATAAACATATTTATTATAAGTAGTTAATAACCTCCACTGTATTATAGTAGTGTGAATGGAATAAATTGCAGTAAAAAAGAATCGCTGGATTTTTGCATTTATTAGAACGAAGGGATACATATATGTACAATATAATCACATGGATTAAGAATTCAAAAGGCAGAAATGAATGACGATTGACAAATGGTAAATATATTAGATATCAGGGAGCTTAAAGCAAGCGACCCATCGGGCACACGACGTTGTTTCAACGTTGAAATTTGGTAGAAAAAAGGTTGCGACGTCGAGAACCTAATATCTACGTTGCTCAGACGTTGTTTTACAAACATTGGTTCAACAGCAGCCAACAGACGTTGAATTAACGTTCATTCATGGTTAAATGTACGACGTCGATTTGTGAACCAATCTCAACGTTGTTTTAACGTGGATTCAACGTTGAATTATGGTTGACGAGATTGGCAACCTAATTTCAACGTTGTTTCAACGTCGAAACAGTAACGTCGATCCAATTTGCATAGTCAACCCTTGTTCAACGTCTATCCAACGTCTGGAAGGTCATTTCCAACGTTGATTCAACGTTGGATAAACGTCATTTTGCCCGCTGGGGACGTTTTGTTAACACGACGTCAGATTTCAAAGTGTCGAGGGGGGCTGGATTAAAAACTGTGTTTGTGTGAGGTTGTGTTTTTGCTTCCTTATACGAGCTCTGGTGCAAAATGCCGTCAAAATTAGTTACACCAATTTTCGAGTGACGTCCGTGTTGAGAAAGACGTCGCCTGCATGCAGTGGCGGAAACTAAGGGGGGAGGGGCAAGGGGGGGGGGCGATTGCCATATTATTGTCTTCATAGCATGCACTGAACCGAAGATATAAACATACAAAGTCGTCAGCTCCTAGAAGTTGACATGCGTGGGACTTGCCGAGAAAGGGTCAGAAAGAGTTAAACCACCTTGCAATTCCATTCACAAGTGATTTTCTCTGAAATGTCGTTTTTTTATGCTTGGCATATAATTTATAACAAAATGCACCATTAAATTAATGTTTTGAAAACTTGAAATTTACAAAATGTGCTCTAAGAATGCTGCAAATGCCATTTCAAGGATCCAAATTCTAAAAATTTTCTTTAGCAGCATTCCCCCATACTGTACACTGTACTCCCTAGAAATCCCGTGCCTTTGGCACTCGCCCCCCTCCCCCAATATTTCGCAAAGCTTCCGCCACTGCTTGCATGCTTAAGCTTATTATATTACTGAGTTTCCAACCCATTTTCGATCACAGGGACCCAATTCCGGGTCTTATTGAAGTTATGTATTAGAATTACGTATGAAATATATAGCTCAGTGTTGAAGCCTGCAATTTGCGGGCTAACGCGCGCGTTGAATACACAATACATATATTTTGTGTGTCTCATTAATATTCAAATTATGAGGGCGAACTTATTAATATTCACAGTAATGTGGGCGATTCATTAATATTCAGATAATCATTAATATTGAGATATATAAGGTGAAACATTAATATTCAGATATAACGGCGACCATAAATATTCAAATATATGGGGGCGACCTTATTAATATTCACATTAATGCGGGCGACCTCATTAATATTCTCACATCCATGAGGGCGAACCATTAATATCACATCAATGAGGGCGAATCCATTAATATCACATCAATGAGGGCGTCGGCGAACCATTAATATCACATCAATGAGGGAGATCAAATATTCAGACGCATATGGGGTCTTCTCGATTTACGGGTAAGCTTCCCACCTTGCTGGCTCTTAACTCATCGAACTGAAATATCTGAAAATTTGATTGTGTGCAAAGCTTATCAAATACTCACAAATTTCACAACTACCTATTGTATGGAAGACGAAAAAACCTATAGAAGACGGCAATCATGATCATCTTGGTGGATTTCATTCCTGGTCGTATCGAGTCAGAGATCGTAAAGCTACTAATAATACGACAAGTTGTTGTTAAAACAAACCAAAAAACAATAGACATCAAATAATTGGATAAATAGGATCAATAAAACTATATCCTTGTAGTCCACTATGTCGTAAGATTGCTTTTTTACAGCCCATGATCATCATCCTGCACGGGTTGTAAAGAAATTCTTCGTTTCCATATGACGTTGATTCTAAAGTTTACTTTACCCGTTATGGCGAAGTAGTTAATTTTGTATTTATTGGTTTGTTTTAACAACAGCTTATCGTATTGTTGGTATCAATCTCTGACTCGATACGACCAGGAATAAAATTTTTTTATGTTTTAAAAATCAACCAAGATGGCGTCGAACAGGGGCGGCGGAACCGGGGGGGCTAGGAGGGCTACAGTAAAAGTGGGGGGGGGGGCTTAGCCCCCCCCAGAAGTAAAAGTGGGTTAGCCCCCCCCAGAAAATTTAGTTTTTTGTGGAAAAATGTTGATAATTAAGGAAAAATTGAGGTTATTTTTTGAAAATTTAGGTATAAGGGGAAAAATTTGCAATATTTTGTTTAAAAATTGTGTATTTCCGGAAAAAAATTTTGTTATATGTCCGGAAAAATTTTTTTCATCCCTTTTCTTGTATATGTCCGGAAAAATTTTTGTACCCCTAAAATGGTACACTGACCGAAAATTTTTTGGCGACGGGGGGGGGGGGCGTTGGGGGGTCACAGGAAAAAAATTTAGCCCCCCCCCCAGAATGAAATCTGTTCCGCCGCCGCTGGCGTCGAATGCATTAATTAATTGTTGTAGACGAACGTACCTATACAGTAATTCCAGACGTTTGAGGATGTATATTATTTTCAAGTGAAAACTTTCTAGTCCTTGGTTCATAAGCAATAAGTGATACTGCAGGATCTGAGGCTGTTACGCGAGCTTTCTGAATTTCAGTTGGCCACAATGATTGCTGTAGAGTTCTAACCAGGAACCTATAACATTAGTGCAGAGAAGATACTTTAGGAACTTGGTCATATTTTATAGTTGCTAGAGGCACAGCCGCCGTAAGCAGACAGAGCGTGACTTTTTGCGTCAATATGAAGTTATGTTTAGCAATAAGAATAAGGGCATGTTTAGCAAAAAGAATAAGGGCAAGGGCTTGTCTATATGATCTCCCCTCGGCTGGCTGAAGAGTGAGTGCTTAATATATAGACAAATTGCCTGAGATCGGCCTAGTTTTGAATGGCTTTGAAGCGTGGGAAATAATCCGCAATTGAAAATGGTGTTTAAACAGTTGTCTGGACTAATATTAAACTGTCTTAAAACTTACAGTCGTAGCAATGGAAGTGTTCCTAAAATATTCTACCAATTCAATTGCTAACACGAACCAATTCATTTGCCGAGTTATTTGAAAGTTTGATAACTTTTCGTATAATTGAAAAGCCTTTTGAATACACCAATCAGCTTTGGTGCAATTGACGAATCATAGACAGGAAGTGAGAAGAAATTATCAATTACAGGAAGTCGCGCAGACTTGCGCCGTTGCGGGTATTGGTCCAACGTCTCAAATGAATTGGTTTGTGTGAGCAAATTAATTGATAAAATATTTTAGGAACACTTCCATTCCTACGATTGTAATCATAACGACAAAAAGATTGCAAAGGAATTTGATAATAAAACTGACCTTGGCAACATGGACACAAATGCTGTCAAAATACACAGCATCCAAAAATCTGCTGTACCCATTGTCACTATAGCAACATAATAATCTGGCAGGGTAGGTGAGAAAACACTATAGACAATACACCACAAGAATGATAGCAATACACTGAGACCAAGAACCACGCCATGAATGATTGTCTAAATAATATAAAAAATAGAGAAATTTGTTAAAATAATGTATTAAAACATCGTCAGTTATTAGTTCTCTGCTGTAAGAAGGCAGGTTCTCTATATAATTTATGAATCAGATATCCGCTATCTCATTCAGTCTTGCGATCTATCTTCACCTCTTGATAGATGATGACTTTTTGGCCATTTCAAGTGTGTGTGTGTGTGGGGGGGGGGGGGGGGGGGGGGGGAGGTGACACCCCATTTTTACCTTCTTCCTGCAAGGTACGTCCCTGCCTTTTACCTTTATATCTTCCTTCTATGCTATTTCTTACCAAACTTCCAATTCTTAAAACATATCCTACTCATCGTTTATTTCTGTCCTTTAACGTATTTCGTGTAAAAGGGTTAAGATAATATTCATACCCAATAATTTGTCTCAATTGCAATCTGAAGAGAGGCGACAATAACTGCACATTGATGAAGTGTTATTCCGACTGTAAATAGACCAGTCTGAGTACCGTAGTAAACCTGAGAATAAAAAAATAACAACACATCTTACGTTACATGTTTCCAACCACATGATGAGTTATATAGTTCGCCAAATAGTATTATATTGGTTCGTTACATTTGGGAATGTGTATACATAAAGGTATTACTGCCCCCTGGTGGAAAATCCTGCATAGCATAGAAAAATCCCTGTTAGCGTTCATTCCCCCCTCTTATCATCCATACAACATACCAAAAAAGCTGAGAAGAATATTACAAGACTTTGGAATATACCATCGGCCATCGTTATACAAAACAATTTTCTGGAATAAAGCTACAAAAAATGTGAGAAACATTAACAAGGTGCATGTATTAACGATAATCAAATCTAAAGCTCCATAACTAGAGATTAACGAGAACAGAAAAATACAGCGTAACTCACGCGGAAATTATGAATCTTATACTCGTAGCCGCACTCGCATAGTCAAATCGAAAGCTATCTATTCCTAAATCTTCCTATTGCAACAGAGCCTGCGTAGCTGATGGTTTTAAGGGTTGGGGTTGAGGTGCGGGCAGCGAACTCCCTAATTTTTTCGCTGCCTGCCCCTCAACCCCTTAAGCTACGTTTACACACAAAGATTAATCGGGCCGATTTCAGGTTTTGACGAAAGTTTTCAGTTGACGATGTCGTCAGATGACGTTGACAGCGAACATGAATGTTTGTTCCAGTAGTTATATACTGGGCCACAGACACAGAGTAAATACATATACAGAGCTGTAACTGACCGTTGTAAACACTGCGGAAGCTTACGTTTTCATGTACACACTTTTTTCAGGCGACCAGGCAAAAAATGATCAACTGCGCGTAAGTTTTAAAGCGAGCCGCCATCCAATCAGATGCATGCACCTAGTAATTTGCCGAGCATGCGCACAAAAAAGTGGGTACACTAGTTACAACTCTGTATATGTATCTACTCTGTGCCACAGATATATAAATCTGTGACTGGGCTCATACCTCACTTTCTTGGCCCTGTTTGTAAAGATATGGTTTCTTGAGAAGAGTTTCACAGGACACATCTTGATCCCAAATTCCTGATATTATTGGCGGTAAAGCAGTAAAAATCAGATTAAAGAATACCAAGTTCAAATCATTGATTGCGTTTGAACCTGAAAAACCGTTATATAACTGAAACCAGAACAACACCATCACGAACATCTATGAAACACAAAAAAATCATCATTTTCAAATGTTATTAGGATTCACAGGGGCATTTACGCGGCAACAATAAGCATCAATTGATGCACCACAAAATTGAGATGGAAAGGGAATCAAATACCTGAGACTACAAGTAAAACTTCCACGTTTCGAGCGAAGGACCTTCATGATAGTTTTAATTGTATTTTTCAGGTAGATCATAGGTAGCCCAACAATCAGTGGTATTTAAAATTAATTTCTGTTGAATAAAATCATTCTACTATTCAGTCCCCGACTGCATTGTTTACGCGCGGTCAGATACATACATGATCTGACTGCGCGTAAACAATGCAGTCGGGGGAGTGAGTAGTAGTATGACTTTATTCAACAGAAATTAATTAATACCACTGATTGTTGAGCTACCTATGGGTAGATGAATCCCTATCCATCTCAATTTTTTGGTGTTTTTGTCACTACCTATACGCTGGTACAAATACATACAACAACTCATTAGGCTCTACCGTATGCAATAATTACGCGCTCTGTTGACTTATTACTGCCCTAATTATTAGTTATTCATCCAGACATCCACATTAAAAGCCCCATCCTACGTTCATAACCATTTTACAAGACATTAGTTCGCTTCATAATCTTGGTCGTGTCAGCACAGTAAGATCCGTCTTGGCATGTCAAATACACAGTATTAGTTATGCCACCAATTTTGTTGTTTTGTGTGGAAACTTCGTCTAGTGTACGTATATGTCACAGGTTATGCGGGGAACCTCTGAAAAATTGTTTATGAAAAGATAAGGAACTTTATTTCTTAACCGTTTTAAGCAAAACAACACATTGTTCAATATTTACATTATATGAAAACTTTAGCCTCGTAACTTCTAATCCAAAATCTTACCATATTTTTATAAAAGAAGTAAAGTATCAACTTGGAAATACGATCATAACACCAATGTCCATGTACAAGTAATAAGCGAACTAAGAAACGAAATCTTCCTATTGCAAAATCACTTGCTTGTACAGCTTGCATTCCCTCCTGACCACTGATACCCACTCCAATATCAGCAACTTGAATCATACTAACATCATTAGCACCATCACCTATAGCTAACGTCATCACACCAAGTTCTTCCCGTACTAGACGGACCACGGACGCCTTAGAAATTGGTAACAATACGTTACAATGTGGTGGAAGAATTCAAAGTATATAATGTCAGGGTGTTAGCCCGAAAAAAAAGTTTTGTCCGTTAAACGTAAATTGGGAAAGTTTTTTTGACCGATCAAAGTCCTTGTGTAGGAATAAATAGTGTTTCTTTCCAACGTGTTTCTCCTTAGATGCAAACAACGGTAGCTTGGTTTTGTACATTTCATTTCCGGTGAATGAACACTGAAAAACACGGATGCACACTGATTACACTTTGTTTTGTACATTTCATTTCAGTGAATACACACCCAATATGAATGAAACGCGATACATTTTGAGAAAATAGTTAATGGAAAAAAGTAAATAAAACGTTCTTTGATATAATACAGTGGAACCCCGTTAATACGGTCACCAACGGGCCGAAATAATATGGCCGTATTAACGGGGTGGCCGTATTAACGGGGTGAGACCAAATTTCAATTGTGACGTCATTAAAGCTATGTTTATTCGAAAATCACAGTAACACCATACCCCACCATAATACCAATTAATAACTAAACATTACAAAGTTCAGATAAAGTTGTCACTAATTTTAAGGAAACAATGTTAGGGAATACAACGTCGCTAAAGAACCTTGTATTCTTTCTTTTCCTTTGCGCGACTGATAATAAAAATAAAAAAATTAGTAATATGATGCAACTTGAATTGTGTGTTTCACTGCACAAGGTGTCTTAAATTATACTGCATTTCCGTCCGTAAACACATTTATTTTTTTGAGTGACCTTATTAACGGGGTGATTTCTTTAGTTCGGGACTCTACAATATGGCCGTTGGCCGTATTAACGGGGTGGCCGTATTAACCGGGTAACTTTATTATAAAATGTATTAGTGTTTCGCCGGGACAAAAAAAGGTGACCGTATTATCGAGGTGACCGTATTAACGGGGTGGCCGTAAGGCGGGGTTCCACTGTAATATAAAATCAAACGCAATGCACTTTCACATCAGAACAAAAATGAAAATCCTCCAGTAGACCCAGTTGGGAAAGCCCCTTAGCTACTTCAACTGGGAAGAGTCCGTCAAACGGACAGTATATGGGCTAGCTAATACCCTGATAATGTATATAGATTAAATGAGCAACGGTCACAGGTTGTCTCAGAAACATTATAAACTCTTGTCATGAACACTGTCAGTCAATGGGTTGGAAGGTTGGTGATATACAGTAGTATTTAGTGAGTATGGCTTTCACCGCTGTGATCTGGGTTCGATTCCTTCAGTATGCTCTGATTCTAATTGCCTTAATTAATGATAGTCGCATGTGAGAAGAGTGTTTCCAGTTTCATTCCATCACGACCACCATAGGTTTTTTCCTGATCACCTCCTCTAAAGGGAGAATGGTCCGGATAATACTGCATGATAGAACTATCTATAGTAGTATAAATGAACTTAATTTAGTATTTTCTAAAATGTCCATCTTGTTGTATAAATGAAGGATGGCACTGACTCTTTACATGAAATGAATCAATAATTTACCCTGGAAAAGTTTTTGTCAGTTTGGACGCTATAAGGAATTTGTTTGGCAAGACTCTTGCAAGAGGACAGGGCAAATATTTATAGACGAAAGGACAATGTAGTGATACACTCGTATTAGAATAGTTTCTGTGAACAACACAGTGTAGTAAACCATAATATTGATAGCTTTCATTCTAAGTACAACCTAACTTCGTCCACAGGCAACTTTTTGGGAGCCACGGCCAAAAATAGGCAACAATGGCAAAGCAAGTGGGTGGTAACAGAGGACTGTAAGGAAAAATTAGCGAAGATCTCCCCGTTATATCCATTGTTTGGCCTTTCCCATCATTACTATCTCCCAATCTCTTGACCGTAGCCGGCTCATCTTGTACTAACCTTCTGAACAGGAGCAGCTCGGCAACAAACAACAACCTGACATGATTTAGCTAAGAGAAGAAATTTCAAAGCAAGCGGATATTCCAAAGCATATTGTAATGTTTGCCCATCGATAATTAAACCATATTTAGTTTGTTGGATTTGTTGTAATTGACCATTTCCTTCAGTTGATTTATCATTCATTCTTTCCAACCAAGCTCTGATTTGTTCGGCACAGGATTCCTTGAAGAATAAATAACACATGACCGTCGGATGTTTTGCATCGGAAAGCTGTCTAAGCCTAAGAACACTAACAGCTATGAAAAAGATCATCTTCCAGGAACAAGACCGATAGGGCCCAAATAATAATAAGCACATAAATACATTAAAGTCTGCTATCGAACGCAGTAAAGATGAACAGGGATGGATACAAAAGGGGATGGGGGGGGGGATAGGGGCATCAGGATTTTTGGGATAGCTAACTACTCCCTCTTTAATTCTTACTTCTTCTCTCCCCTTCCCTAGGTACGAAATTCGTCCATCCACAATGGGAACGGAAAGAATAAACACACTGTAAATTATATATACCCAGAAGGTGAACCTACTTTTGATGAAGCATTTAGCGTTATTTTATCCATTTCTTGATCCAGAAGGCGACAGGAGTGTGCAATATTTACTGCAGTTTCCTACAATTAAAGTTCGTAACGCACAATTAATATTACATTTTTTCACGTCACAAGCTATCCTGATCAAAGACTGTTAGATAAACAAACAAACAAACAAACAAACAAACAAACAAACAAACAAACAAACAAACAAACAAACAAACAAACA